GTTGCACCCACGAGGAAACATTAACTTAATATCGGCTAACCCATTGGAGAAAAGAGACAAAACGACTTCTAAGCGACCGACCGGCAAAGCAATACATCGGGCGTAGCCTCTGGCTCATAAAAAAAGCATCCATAAATGGACGCCCCCATTATATTCCTTAATAATTTCCTGGCGACCTCAGTATTATTATGAGCGATATTCATTAACGCACCACTTGCCCATATAAGTAATTTTTGGCAACTGCCGAACGACCAATCTTCCATTATCCTTCATCGGTGATCAGCACCCCGGATCATGAGTTAACAGATTGGCGAGAAAAATAAATGCGGTAAAATATCTACAGGTTTTTTGAAGCTTATAAAACAGGTGTACTTAAATTTCCAGAAAATAATAATTCATCTATAGGCAACAGATAAATGCCAAAAACAAACCCATCTATACCACTCATTTCCATACCAAAAGAATTTTTGCCTTTAACGTTTACATTTAAGAAAAAATGCCCTGTTTTTTTTACAATAGTATAATCAGGTAAGGCATTCCATTTTTTGAGCGGGCAGAGGCCGTCTGTTTATTGGCATGACATTCATACCTCCGTTTTAGATAGTGCTACAAATAACGCTCTGTAATGATCCCCCAATTCAGTCAACGACCCTTTTATTTTAAGTTAATGTGCGTGCTGGTAAGCTTAATTGCCATTGTGTACATTGTTATTGTAGCCAAAGAGGTATTGTCACCCATCCTGTTTTCCTGCCTCTTCTCGATCCTTCTGCTGCCGCTGGCCGATTTTTTTGAAAAAAGGATGAGATTGCCCAGAAGCATTGCGTCTATGGTGTCGGTGGTTTTAATGCTCGCAGCTATCAGCCTGGTCATGTACACGCTGGGCACTCAGCTTAGTAAATTATCCAACGACTGGCCGCTTTTCAAGAACCAGATGGATACTTCACTGCAGCAATTACAACATTGGATAACAACCAAATATAACCTCAATGTAAATGAACAACTAGATTATGTGCATTCCGCGACCACGAAAGTTCTTTCCTCCAGTACCGCGGTCGTTGGGGCTACTGTTCTTTCCGTATCGTCTATCATGCTTTTTTTGGTATTAACTTTCATATATACCTTCTTCTTCCTGCTTTACAGACGGTTGATCATCACCTTTTTAATTTCCGTTTTTTTAGAGCAAAATAAATTGGTGGTTCATGATATTGTCGAGAATGTACAATCTATCATCCGGAAATACATCGTGGGCTTATTTATTCAAATGACCATTATTTCTTCCTTGGTAAGTATTCTTTTCTGGGCGTTAGGTATTAAATATGCT